GGCTCGGCCCCCGAGTCGATCCATAGCGCCTGACTTTCGAAAGTGTCTGGAGACATGTTGAAATCCGCTCCCACCACCGTCGGCTGGCCTACCGACTCGCTGTAAGAAGCGACCCTATCTATGATGTCGACGTTGCTATATGACAAGTCCTGGCTGTGGTGCAGGTGCATGCTGCAGCAGCAGATCGTGCGACTGTCTCTAGGGAGGTGCGCAAGAAAAGCCATGGTCCTTCCTGGGACTAAGGTGGGGTCTCGATTTTCCTGGAACATGACCCCCATGAAATCACGGACCAGGACCCCGACTCTCCCAGACGAACCGGTGCTATCCGTGCGGAGGGCGGGGGAGAGGCAGGCAGACCAACCTTGCCGTTTGGCCCACCTGACAGCAGTATTGATGGCGTCCTGGGAGACGAGGTGGTGTTCCTGCGCGAGCACTAAGGTGGCCGACGTCTGAGGCAACCATAGTTTGAAAGATGACCATGAAGTAGAGTTACCTGTTTCGATAGCCAGATCAATGGGTTCCTGTCCAGAGGTTTCAGGGACTACGGGGAAGGCGATCTACCAAAATTGACGGGACTGATACGCTGGGTGGCAGAAACCTGAGTTTTCCCAACCGCGCTCAAGGACCCAGACGTCGTCCACCTAGGACTAGATGGGATAACCCCCTCCTGGCCTGGAAGGGAGGTGCAAAACTGATTTGCTATCTGCTGTCCGCAACAATGCATGCTAAAGATCGTCCTCTGGGCGGCCCCTGCCTGCGCCCTTGGCTGCCAGAAGCTGCTTGGCGCGCCCCTTGGCCGACGAGGCGGCAGGGGGCCCAGCTCCAGAGGCCGATGCCGAGGATGCCTGCGAGGCGCCTGCAGAAGACTTCATCCCCTGCGATGGCCGCTCTCCCGCTGGTGCCTCGGCGGCGGCCTTGTCGTGCGTGGCGGCGGTCCCGTCGTTAAACTTCCTCTTCTTGCCCTCGAGGCGAGGCAGCATGCTCTTGTGCTCGGCGCGCAAGTCCGCGGTCTTGCCGCGAATCGCTCCGAACAGCTGCGTGCCGATCTCCCTGATGCCTGCCGAGAGGGCCTTCGCGCGCTTCTCGGCCCCCTCAATCTCCTCCTTGCTGAGGTCGTGGTACTCTGAGAGGCCGAAAAGCGACCGACATGAATTCTCCAACTTATCAAGATTGGCGTCCATAATGTCGTCGCACGTGATGCCGTCGCTCGCGGGCTGAGGCTCATCGGGAACTCGAACTTGGGCATGCATCTCCGATGCCGCCGACTCGAGCTCACCCGGCGGTGATGCGACTGGCCTGCTGGGCGATGAACTTCGGACTGAGCGACTCGGCCAACTGAATCTCCTTGTTGAGCTTGGCCTCGAGCTGCTGCCTGCGCCTGTCCGCCTCGGATGGCCCAGGGGCGCGGCGGGCAGCGAACTCGTTCCCGTGCTTGGCGGCCAGACCAGGGTTGCCCGACTTCTCCATGAGCTTCGCCGCCTGCTCGAGCTCCTCCAGGCCGAGCTCGGGGGCGCCCGCGCGGCCTGGGGCTCGAAGCAGCCGTGGTCCACCGCCTGCTCCGTCTGCGCCGCGGGGGGCTGAGTCCGCGGGTGCAGGGAGACCAGGGCGAGGAGGCAGACGAGGAAACTGTTGATCATGCGGCGCGCCGCAGTGCTTGCAGTTCGTCCAGCTCGCTCTGTTCCTTTTGCAAGAGCACTGCGTAAGCGTCCACTTGCCTTCGTATTGCGGTGGGATCCACGAACCGTCGGAGCCCAACTGCCATTGGTTCTGGTTATACTTGCAGCCATGGTAACGATAGTTCCGATTCTGCCAACCGTAACCCTGGAAGCCGCCTCCAGCCATCGGGGCGCTGGGGACGGGATGGGCGCTGGGGCTGGAATGGGTTCGGGTGAACGTGGCCCGCCAGTGCGTGCCGTTCTGAAGATCAGCACTGGCAAAGTCCAGAAAAGCCTGGACCAGAACGGCTGTGGAGGAGGGGGAGGAAGAGGAGGAGGAGGAGGAGGAGGAGGAGGAGGAGGAGGAGGAGGAGGAGGAGGAGGAGGAGGAGGAGGAGGAGGAGGAGGAGGAGGAGGAGGAGGAGGAGGAGGAAAGGGAGGCAGGTAGCGAAGGGACGGAGGGGAGGGATGGTACGGAGGAGGAGAGAGGATGAGGAGGAGGAGGAGGGGCGCCAGCCTCGATGCAGGCCTAGGGCCTGGGGGTTCCTTGTTCTTACATTTTTATGTCGTGTTGGGTTCTCGCTGTGGATATGCAGCGCTCCGCTCCTCCTTCGTCCTCCCGCTTCTCCTCCCTCCCATTCCTGTCTCTGTTCTCTGTGTGTCCTCACCGCCATCACCACGAGTTGAACAATAGTAATTGGGGCTCGTGCAGGAGCAACGGCCCGCCGCCGTGTTCTTTGAGTTTCACCCCGAGGACGATCAACGGCACGTGGAGCGCGGGCCAGACCAGCTCTTCCGCCCCCGTTTATTACCACAGGGAAGCTGGCTGCAGGTGCACGGTTTTAAGGAGTCCCCGATCTACCAGGAGGTTGCCGAACTGGTGCTACAGGGCGCCGACGCTGACGACGACGGCCAGGCCGAGGCGCGTGCGCAGAGCTCGCTCATTTTCAGCCCCCACGAGCAGGAGCTCACTTGGCAGAGCTCGGGGCCGTGAGCCGTGCGCCGCTCGGGGTTAATGCGCACGTCTTATCTCACCTCCACGCTGTCGCAGGGTCAGACGCTGCACAAGGGCGTCACCATCGATTGCGTTAGGGATGAGACCGCGGGCCGCGCGGGCAAGTTGGCCGCGCAACGGTGGCGGCACCTCTACGTCGTGTTATCCCGCGTCACCTGCAATCGGAATAGGCTGATCGTGCGGCCGCTCTCGCGCGGGTTTCTGAAACGCGGGCCGCCGGCGTCCTCGCGGAAGACGTTCGGGGAAATCGGCAAGAGAGCCTCGAACTCAAGGGCTGTGGCCGGGCAGCCCGCCGCAGGGTTTGGCTTCGCGCTGCCTACCGCCTGGGCGCGGCCGCGCCCCGTTCGAAACCCGCGGAGCTTGGTCTCGCCCCAGCGGGTCGCGGGTTCGTCTCAAAGTCCTGGCTCGCGAGGTTGCCCCGGCGGCTTCGCAATCCGACCGTGCGAAAACGCGACCCTGCCGACCGATGCGGCGATGGCGCCGCGGAAAATCGATGCGCGCGCCTTTGCAACAGGAGCGGGGGAATTGGCGGAAAAGGGAGGTTTTGCAGGAGGAGGAGGAGGAAGATGAGGAGGATGAAAGTGAGGCACGTCAGTGGGCGGGGGGAGGGCCTGCGCCAGAGGGATAATCAGTGGGCGGGAGGAGGGCTTGCGCCAGAGGGACAATGAAAATGGCGCAATGGAGTATGATACAGCTTACGGTAGGTTTGCGTCGTGTCGACCAGCGGCGGCCCCAGCGCGGGCGTTCAAGGTTGAACGCCGCCGGCGACCCAGAATCGATCGATGTTGAACGATCGGACGTTGCGGAGACGGCCGATCGTTCAAGGTTGAACGATCCAGCGCGGTGTCAGGAACCAACGCCAGAGTCGACACGGCACGGACCTGCAGTATGCAATCACATCAACGACGATGAGGATCACCTCCATACTAACCGATAGTAGTAGCAGGTGGGTCTTGACGCAGAAGTATTGTTTCGATGGTTTCCCGTCCGCTGGCTCGACGAAAAGCGCCGAAAACACAGAAGGCGGATGATGATGACGATGATGATGATGAGGAGGAGGAGGAAGAGGGAGAAGATGAGGAGGAGGAGGAGGAAGACGAACAGCAGGCCGATGGAACGCTCGGGTTGTTGCGTGGTCGGCCCCTGGATAATTTACTTGGTATGATTCCTCAATATTCGGATCGCGGAGAATCCACAGGACCATTGTGGATTTTTAGGGTCCGTTTCACTGCAGAGGAGTTCTACAGGACCATTTGGGTTCGCAAAAAAATCCTTACCGTTCCGAGCGATTCTTGGGAGTGGACTGGACGGGCTCGGCGTGCGGATTCGCGTGTGTTCCTGAGCATTTGTGTGGAGGCCAAATGATTCCAGGCAGTTCCTCAAGATACTGAACATGCCCTAAGACGTATTTGACAATCCGTTGGACCAGTCGGAGGAATCGGAATTCCGACGGATTCTTTATGATCTTATGGCCTTCGGCCCATCCCGCCACTGTGTTTGGGTCGTGGGCCATAGTCCTTAGGATGTTCGTCTGGATGTTACGGGAGGCCTCTTGGGGGCCTCTTTGGGGCCGTTTTGAAGCCTTTTCGGAGCCGTTTTGAGGCCTCCTGCTGCGTCTTCGGGGCCTCTTGAGAGTCTCTTGGGGCCTCGGGGGGGTCTTTTGGGGCTTTTTCCACCTGGGGGGTCTTCGGGCGGAAGGTTCAGCATTTCGGTTCGTGTTCCCCTCTTGGGCCCTGTTTGGGGCTGTCTTGGGGTCTTTTGGGCCGTCTTGGGCGCCTCTAGGACCGTCTTGGAGCCGTCTCAAGCTGTGTTGGGGCCCTCCTGGGGGCCTCTTGGGCCGTCCTGGGGCGGTCCTGAACGCCTTTTGGGCCGTTCTGGAGCGGGGGAGTAAAGCTGCTGCCAATGAGGATGGCACCACAATCCGTACCAAGCAGTGGTATGTTCCAATACAGTTTGCGCAAATTGTCTGGTAGAATATATGTGAAGCCACCTCTTAGAAGCAATGCGTGGTGCAATCTATGGTGCACTCTATGTTGTGCAATCGGTAGTGCAACGTATGCTGTGCAATCTCGGTGAGCCGTCTTGGGGGAGCCGTCTAGGGTGGAGCCGCCTAGGTGGAACCGTCTAGGTGGAGCCGTCTAGGGGGGGTTGGCCGTCTACGTTGTCCAGTATGGTTCGCCAGGGCCGCTTTGGCCCAAGGCTGTCATATTCATATGCATTCAGTTGTTGTGTATTATTTGCTTTGGTCTGCGCTCTACTGCGCCTTGCATTGCAGCCCGACGCCTTCTCCGCTGTCATATCTCACGAGGATGAAGCGACCTGGTCCACCTGGGACATCTGGCCAACAGAAGGGCAGGAAAAGCAAAGGAGGAGGATGAGGAGGAGGTTTCCCACCGTCGGCCTCCGACGTCTAGATGCCAAATGGCGGCGCGGCCATGGCTGACGCGGCGGTCTCCTCCTGTTAGCCGCCCCCGACGTTTGGTAAACCGACAGAGGCTCGCGGCTTGCGGGCGCGGGCAGCGGAAGGGCAACGCCGGGGTTTGTGGCAAAGCCGGAGGGACGACGCCTACCAAGTCGGGGACATGGAGGCTCATCGAGCTTGCCCAGCCTCTGTCGGCAGCAGGTTTGGAGAGTTTCACTGGCGAATTCGTGGGCCCTGCCAATGGCAAGTGCGAGCGGGCGGAGTGCGGCAACGCCTTGAAGCAGGCTCCAGAGCACCCGCAGTATGGGTGCAAGCAGTGGGGCGGCCACTAGATCCAGTGGAAGATGGAGGGCAGGCACTGGAAGAAGGACTTCGGCGCCTCAATGTTCGTAGTCGTATTCGGGACGTCCCCTGTGGATTGCCCCTCCAGGATGGCCCCGTCCATGATGGCCCCCCTCGGGATAGTCTGCCTCAGTGGCATTCTAGTTACTCCCTCAGGCAGTCTCCTCCAGGATGGCCCCATCAGGATGGCCGTCTCAACCCGCAGCAACATTCGGGTCTCCCCTCCACCCCCTCCCGGTTGTTTGAGGTCCGTGGGGCCCTCAGGACAATATATTTGAATGAAGGGGTAACTTGGTAATCCGAATGACGCCGATATTTGCTCTGGCCTGGGAGGTTCTGGTTCCTGCGGGTCCTCTGCGCTGGGATTGCGGCCCGACGGTGCGCTCCTTCTGCCGCCGCGGCACCCCGACCCAGATTGCGACGCAGTGCAGCGAGGTTCCAGAGTTCGACGGAGAGTTTTGCGAGGCGATGGTCAGCTTAAAGGTGCCTGGCGCTAGGGCGTTTTTCCCTGGCGACGTGGCCAGGGTCGCGCCGCGCGCATGCAAGCGGAAGCGGGGCCTCAGCTCTGAGGGATACAAGGACCTGGCTGGCGACCTAAATGGCACCCCTCACACGTTCCGTTGCTCCAGAGATGTCTTGCGACTGCCTGCCTACCTGGTGCCACCCATGAGGGCTTTGCAGTACTCCACGGTGTTTCATTCAATCGTAGCAGTCCAAGTGCATATTTTCAATATTAGCTCAGTCTGCGAATTTCGTTGTTTTAGTAACGCGCAGTTAACTAGTGTTTGCAGCGTTGTTTCTACCAATCCTCATGCTCTGATACTGTTTGGATCTCATTGACAATATGCAACAGTAATATCTCATTAGGTTCTGCGTCCTTGTTGTTTGTCGATGTCCTCATGACATTGTAATCGCGCGTCAACTATTTTTGAGCAAGCGTCGTAAGTATGCCCCGAACCGAGCCACGGTTCATCATCACCATCATCATCATCATCATCATCATCATCATCATCATCATCATCATCATCATCATCATCATCATCATCATCATCGTCATCTCCACCCCCACCCTCATCATCCTCATCCTCATCATCCTCATCCCCATCCTCATCATCCCTGTCATCGTCATCCGTCTCCCCATCCTCTCTTTCATACGCATCCTCATCATCATCTTTCACCGCATCACCCTCTTCGTTATCATCATGGGTGTCTTGGGTCGGAGGTTGGGGGGTCAACTCGCAGTGGAACGGAGACCCCCGAACGGGAAACCGTTTTGTTTCGTTCATGTCGTGCGTGCGGGCGAGGCGAAGCTGCGTGGGCGCGCGATAGGAAAGAACCCGCCGTTGCTAGGGCGAAGTCAAGACAAATAATCCCCTCCCGCCCGCCCGCCCGTCTGGCGGTTGCTCGAGGTGGCTCGCGGTGTCCCATGGTGTCCCGTAGTGTCCCGTGGTGTCCCGTGGTGTCCCGTGGTGTCCGCCGTTGTCAGGGCGGAGTCAAGACAAATGATCATCCCCCGCCCGCCCGTCCGTCCGTCCGTCCGGCGGTGGCTTGCGGTGTCCCCCGGTGTCCCGTGGTGTCCCGCGGTGTCCCGTGGTGTCCTGTGGTGTCCCGTTGAGTGGGAACGATAGTGAGATCGATAGTGAGATCGATAGTGAGATCGATGGTGAGGTCGATAGTGAGATCGATAGTGAGATCGACAGGTGTCCCGTGGTGTCCCGTGGTGTCCCGTTGAGTGAGACCGGTGGTGAGATCGATAGTGAGGTCGATGCTGAGATCGATGTGATGCCTCGGGGTGTCCCGTGGTGTCCAGTGGTGTCCCGTTGAGTGAGATCGATAGTGCGATCGATAGTGAGATCGACAGGTGTCCCGTGGTGTCCCGTCGTGTCCCGTTGAGTGAGATCGATAGTGAAACCGATCGTGAGATCGATCGTGACATCGATGTGGTGTCCCGAGGTGTCCCGTGGTGTCCCGTGGTGTTTCGTGGTGTCCTATGGTGTCCCGTTGAGTGAGGTCGATAGTGATATCGATCGTGAGATCGATCATGCGATCGAGAGGTGTCCCGCGGTGTCCCGTGGTGTCCCGTGGTGTCCTGTTGAGTGAGATCGATAGTGAGATCGATAGTGTGATCGACAAGTGTCCCGTGGTGTCCCGTGGTGTCCCGTGGTGTCCCGTTGAGTGAGATCGAGTGTGAAATCGATTGAGTCCGGTGTTGGTTCCCCCCCCCCTCTCTCCCCCCACTTCCCCCGCGACTTCCTTATCACCCCGAGGGTGGTCGTATGGGTATCTTGAGGGCCTTGGGTATTTGGGATATCTATGGCATTTTAGGGGGTTTCGGCGGTGTTCGGGATCTTGGGGGTCTTGGGGATTGTGGGTGTATTCGGCATCTTGGGTACATGGGGTATTTGTCGTATCGTATCTTCGGGATCTTGGGAATTGTTGGGTTCGTGGGGGTCTTGGGGGTCTTTTGGATCTTGGGGATCTCGGGGGTCTTCGGCGTCTTGCAGGTCTAAGGGGTCTTGGTGGCCTTGGGCGAATGGGGGCTCTGGGGGGGGAGGGGTCATGGCCATAAGGGTCTTGGGGGTCTCTGGGGTATTGAAGGTATGGGGTATTTCGGTGATTGGGTATTGGGGACCCCTAAAGGGCACCGTGAGCGTATTGGCTATAGTGTGTATCTCTGGATGGTATCTGGTGTCTTACGTATGTTGGGTATCTACAGTATTTTAAACGTTTTGGGGGCCGCATTTTTTTTCGGGTTTTAATATATATATATAGAATATAGAAATAAGCGTTCTCTCTATATATATATATATATATGTATAGTGGTATATGTAGTTATATCTGGTGTATAGCGGGCACCTTGGGTAACGTAGGTGGGTGTCCTGGGTATCTTGGGTGTCTTTGATATCTGTATCTTGGCACATTTGTCACTTCATTATTATTGCGAAGGCCTGACGGCCGGTGCCGCCGACCCTGTTCGCAATGCGCAGCAAGAGGCACGGGCTGTGGGATGGTTTGGGGGAACGGGGAGAAGGACGAGAAGGTGGGGGAGGGAGGTGTCGTATCTGACCCGGGACTTCCCCGGGACTCCCCCGGGACCCCCCCCGGGACCTCCTCTCCCCCCCCCGTCGGGGAAGGGAAAGGGAAGGGGCTTCCCTTCGACTCAATGACGACGTTGCTCAAGGTCGGTACGGGGGGGGGGCGTCGTATCTGACTCGGGGGGGGGGGGGTCGCTACCCCCCCCGCTACCTCCCCCCCCCTCCCGGCGGGGGAGGAATGAAAGGGAAGGGGCTTCCCTTCGACTCAATTACGAGGTTGCTCAAGGTCGGCTTGGCTGGAGCCCAGGGGAAGAGGAGTCCCAGGGGGGGGCGTCGTATCTGACCCGGGGGGGGGGTCGCTACCCCCCCCCCCCTCCCGGCGGGGGAGGGATCAAAGGGAAGGGGCTTCCCTTCGACTCAATTACGAGGTTGCTCAAGGTCGGCTTGGCTGGAGCCCAGGGGAAGAGGAGTCCCAGGGGGGGGCGTCGTATCTGACCCGGGGGGGGGGGTCGCTACCCCCCCCCCCCTCCCGGCGGGGGAGGGATGAAAGGGAAGGGGCTTCCCTTCGACTCAATTACGAGGTTGCTCAAGGTCGGCTTGGCTGGAGCCCAGGGGAAGAGGAGTCCCAGGGGGGGGCGTCGTATCTGACCCGGGGGGGGGGTCGCTACCCCCCCCCCCCTCCCGGCGGGGGAGGGATCAAAGGGAAGGGGCTTCCCTTCGACTCAATTACGAGGTTGCTCAAGGTCGGCTTGGCTGGAGCCCAGGGGAAGAGGAGTCCCAGGGGGGGGCGTCGTATCTGACCCGGGGGGGGGGTCGCTACCCCCCCCCCTCCCGGCGGGGGAGGGATCAAAGGGAAGGGGCTTCCCTTCGACTCAATTACGAGGTTGCTCAAGGTCGGCTTGGCTGGAGCCCAGGGGAAGAGGAGTCCCAGGGGGGGGCGTCGTATCTGACCCGGGGGGGGGGTCGCTACCCCCCCCCCCCTCCCGGCGGGGGAGGGATCAAAGGGAAGGGGCTTCCCTTCGACTCAATTACGAGGTTGCTCAAGGTCGGCTTGGCTGGAGCCCAGGGGAAGAGGAGTCCCAGGGGGGGGCGTCGTATCTGACCCGGGGGGGGGGTCGCTACCCCCCCCCCCTCCCGGCGGGGGAGGGATCAAAGGGAAGGGGCTTCCCTTCGACTCAATTACGAGGTTGCTCAAGGTCGGCTTGGCTGGAGCCCAGGGGAAGAGGTCTCCCAGGGAAAGGGAAGGACAGAGACGACGAGTACAAAGAATGACGGAGATGACGGCTCGAACGGAAAAGCCCCTCACACACGCCGACAGGGTCGGCGGATTTGGCACTTCATTCTTATTTGGCATATAGGATATTTGGGGTATCGTTGTTATCTAGGGTATATGGGATATCTTTTCGCGTTCAGAATTACATCGGTTGGATCGCGTGCGAACGCCGCCACCCAGGCCTTCGGCGGAGCTCCCTCTGGGACCCCGAAGCGCGTGAAGGGTGCGCGCAGAACTGCTGGGGGGGTGGGGTTGGGGTGCGCGTGTGTGTGTGTGTGTGTGTGTGTGTGTGTGTGTGTGTGTGTGTGTGTGCGTGCGTGCGTGCGTGCGTGCGTGCGTGCGTGCGTGCGTGCGTGCGTGCGTGCGTGTGTGCGTGTGTGTGCGTGTGCGTGCGCGTGTGTGTGTGTGTGTGTGTGGTTCGGTTTCGGTCTTCCTCCGGTCCTCTCCCTCTCCCTGGTTTGGTCTTCCTCCGGTCCTCTCTCTGGTCTGGCCTCCCTCCGGTCCTCTCCCTGGGTTTGGTGGTGGTTGGTATGCGCTTGATGCTGCTCGCGCGCGCGCTGAGGCAAACTTGTGTCAGCTTGTGTCGCTTGCAGTCGTGGCGTGCAGCCTCGCACACTTTAAGTTTTGTCCCTGGGCCGGCAAGCAGAATAATACATAGACAGCACGTGTGTGATTCCAGTGGTGCTCTCTGGGTTCGTGGGGGCCGGAGTCGCACAAATGACACAACTCTGAAGCCTGTATTTTCAATACTTCTGGGGAGCTACATGCTGTAACATAGTTATGTGAGTAATCTATGTCTCTGATTGTAGCTGTGGTGGCTCAGCCTGGTTTAGGCCACAGGCGCTCAAACCGTCGAGTACGGTGCATACTGCAGTAGGTCAGGTCGGGCCTCACCGAACGGGGATGTTGCGACAGTGAAAACAGTCTCTTGGTCGATCCTTGGTTCTGGGTCTCACTTACTCGGATATCTCTCTCATCACTTTACGTGTGGTCAAGTCCTCTGGAGCGGGTCCAAACCCTGGCCTGGTGTACCACTGACTTTGCCTTCGTCCATACATATATACTCATATTCACGTTCCTCCATATTACGTTCTACATTTTGGTATTAATTCAAACACGATGCCACGAGTACCCAGGAAACTAACCTGTCTCTTCTGGTTCGTTGCCTGCTCAGTTATGCTCGGCGTGCAAGGTAGTGCAGTACAGGAACAACATGAACCACATCTCCGAGCCTTCCTCGCCACACGTCGCCCTCTATCTTGTTCAGGTACGAACTCCGAGATCGATGGGGAAATATGTCGGCAATGCGCCAACATTTCTTCTTTAGGTCTCGCGCTGGGGTTTTCATCTTCTCTGCTATTCGGACACAAACCTGATCGCTATTCGAATGAGTTCGTGAAGCTTTGGAGCACCATTCTCTGGCATCTTGTAGTTGAGCGTCCGTCGTCAAGATTTGTCCAGGCGATCGATACCATGCAAGCGGAACTCCTCACCCTGGCAGGCGGCCCTTCAAAGCTACCTCGTCATAGTCTGGAGTTCCTTCTTACGCTCACTATTGCAAAAACCATGTTGCGTGTGCG